TTTGCACTATTTAAAATTCTGGGTGATATGACGTTAAATAAATACACCGCCCATCACATTTCCAGTATCATCGTATCCTAAACAATGAAATGGAGAAAATATATCCAACAGGAAAACATAAGTTGGGGTGTTGTGCTGACTCAGTGCTCTGTTCTCCGATTGGCTGTAATTTGGTGTATATACATTCTAGTCCACCAATCACAGTTAAATAAGGGATTATTGGACGAATGCAATATGTACGATACCTCCATCAAATCTCTGGGGGTTCCGCCGCCCTTGGGAGGGCCCCTGAAGTCGCCACTGTCCCTAGCAGGGACCCTGTTGCCCCTGTGAGGGACCCCACCGTCCCTAGAAGTGCCTCTGGGAGCCCCGCTCCTCCTAGGAGGGCCCATAACGGCGCCGCTGCTTCAGATAGGGCCCATAGGGGCGTCACCACACCCGGCAGGGCCCCTGAGAACGTGGATGTCCCTGGTAGAGCCCTTATGGGCGTCGCCGTCCCTGAGAGGGTCCCTGGAAGTTTCCCTGGTCCTGAGATAACTCCTGGCAGTGCCAGCGCCCTCTGACAGAGCCCCTGGGGGCGCCGCCGTCCATGGCATTGCACCTTGGGGCGCCACCTCCCATGAGGGGGCCTCTGAGCGCGACACTGTCCCTGAGAGGGCCCCTGATCGCGCCGCTGCCCCTGGGATATTCTCGGGAGGCGCCAGTGCTCTGGTAGGGCCCTTGGGTCGCTTTTGTCCCTGGATGTGTCCCTGGGGGCGCCGTCGTCCCTGGGAGAACGTCTGGGAACGTGGCTGTCTCTGGGAGAGCTCCGCCAGCGATCCTGGTGGGGTCCTTGGGGTGCTGCTGTTGTTGGAAAGGCCCCTTGAGATCTGCTGACCCCTGGGTGAGCCCCGGGTGCCCACTGGCCTGGGAGGCCAAGGCTGAGAGCGTAGCTTTCTGCTGGGAGAATCCCCTGAGCAGCAGCGACGGGTACACCACGGGGCGCTGGTGATTATGGAAAAGACCCCTGGCAGAGTCGCCGTCCCTGGGAGAAACCCTGTAGGTGCCATCGCCCCCTGTAATGGCTCGTAGGAGTAGTTGCTTTTGCACTATTTAGTAAAATTCTGGGTGATATGACGTTAAATAAATACACCGCCCATCACATTTCCAGTATCAATGTATCCTAAACAATGAAATGGAGAAAAAAATATCCAACAGGAAAACATATAAGTTGTGGGTGTTGTGCTGACCGCGCTCTGTTCTCCTATTGGCTGTAATTTGTGTGTATATACATTCTAGTCCACCAATCACAGTTAAGTAAGGGATTATTGGACGAATGCAATATGTACGATACCTCCATCAAATCTCTGGGGGTTTCGCCGCCCTTGGGAGGGCCCCTGAAGTCGCCACTGCCCTTAGCAGGGACCCAGTCGCCCCTGTGAGGGACCCCACCGTCCCTAGAAGTGCATCTGGGATCCCCGCCGCCCCTAGGAGGGCCCATAACGGCGCCGCTGCTTCAGATAGGGCCCATGGGGGCGTCACCACACCCGGCAGGGCAGCTGGGAACGTGGATGTCCCTGGTAGAGCCCTTATGGGCGTCGCCGTCCCTGAGAGAGTCCCTGGAAGTTCCCTTGGACCTGAGTTAGCTCCTGGCAGTGCCAGCGCCCTCTGACAGAGCCCCTGGGGGCGCCGCCGTGCATGGCATTGCACGTGGGGCCCCACCTCCCATGAGGGGGCCCCTGAGCGCGACACTGTCCCTGAGAAGGCCCCTGATCGCGCCGCTGTCCCTGGGATATCCTTGGGTTGCGCTAGTGCCTTGGTAGGACCCCTGGGGCGCTTTAGTCCCTGGAAGGGCGCCTGGGGGCGCCGATGTCCCTGGGATATCATCCGGTTGCGCTAGTGCCCTGGTAGGGCCCCTGGGGCGCTTTAGTCCCTGGAAGGGCGCCTGGGGGCGCCGTCGTCCCTGGGAGAACGTCTGGGAACGTGACTGTCCCTGGGAGAGCTCCTGGGAGCGCCAGCGATCCTGGCGGGGTCCTTGGGGTTACCGCCGTTGTTGGAAAGGCCCCTGGGAGCTCTGCTGACCCTGGGTGAGCCCCTGGTGGCGCCACTGTCATTGGGAGGGCCTCTGAGAGCGTGGCTTTCGCTGGGAGAGTCCCTGGGAGCGGCAGCGACTCTGGCAAGGTCCTTGGGTTGACTGTGATTATGGAAAGACCCCTGGCAGCGTCGCTGTCCCTGGGAGAAACCCTGAGGTGCCATCGCCCGTGTAATGGCTCGTAGGAGTAGTTGTTTTTGCACTATTTAAAATTCTGGGTGATATGACGTTAAATAAATACACCGCCCATCACATTTCCAGTATCATCGTATCCTAAACAATGAAATGGAGAAAAAATATCCAACAGGAAAACATAAGTTGGGGTGTTGTGCTGACTGAGTTGCTCTGTTCTCCTATTGGCTGTAATTTGTTGTATTTACATTCTAGTCCACCAATCACAGTTAAGTAAGGGATTATTGGACGAATGCAATATGTACGATACCTCCATCAAATCTCTGGGGGTTTCGCCGCCCTTGGGAGGGCCCCTGAAGTCGCCACTGCCCCTAGCAGGGACCCTGTTGCCTTTGTGAGGGACCCCATCGTCCCTAGAAGTGCCTCTGAGATCCCCGCCGCCCCTAGGAGGGAATATAACGGCGCCGCTGCTTCAGATAGGGCCCATGGGGGCGTCACCACACCCGGCAGGGCACCTGGGAACGTGGATGTCCCTGGTAGAGCCCTTATGGGCGTCGCGGTCCCTGAGAGAGTCCCTGGAAGTTCCCCTGGACCTGAGTTAGCTCCTGGCAGTGCCAGCGCCCTCTGACAGAGCCCCTGGTGGCGCCGCCGTCCATGGCATTGCACCTTGGGGCCCCACCTCCCATGAGGGAGCCCCTGAGCGCGACACTGCCCCTCAGAAGGCCCCTGATCGCGCCGCTGTCCCTGGGATATCCTCGGGTTGCGCTAGTGCCTTGGTAGGGCCCCTGTGGCGCTTTAGTCCCTGGAAGGGCGCCTGGGGGCGCCGCTGTCCCTGGGAGAAACCCTGAGGTGCCATCGCCCGTGTAATGGCTCGTAGGAGTAGTTGTTTTTGCACTATTTAAAATTCTGGGTGATATGACGTTAAATAAATACACCGCCCATCACATTTCCAGTATCATCGTATCCTAAACAATGAAATGGAGAAAAAATATCCAACAGGAAAACATAAGTTGGGGTGTTGTGCTGACTGAGTGCTCTGTTCTCCGATTGGCTGTAATTTGGTGTATTTACATTCTAGTCCACCAATCACAGTTAAATAAGGGATTATTGGACGAATGCAATATGTACGATACCTCCATCAAATCTCTGGGGGTTCCGCCGCCCTTGGGAGGGCCCCTGAAGTCGCCACTGTCCCTAGCAGGGACCCTGTTGCCCCTGTGAGGGACCCCACCGTCCCTAGAAGTGCCTCTGGGAGCCCCGCTGCTCCTAGGAGGGCCCATAACGGCGCCGCTGCTTCAGATAGGGCCCATAGGGGCGTCACCACACCCGGCAGGGCCCCTGAGAACGTGGATGTCCCTGGTAGAGCCCTTATGGGCGTCGCCGTCCCTGAGAGGGTCCCTGGAAGTTTCCCTGGTCCTGAGATAACTCCTGGCAGTGCCAGCGCCCTCTGACAGAGCCCCTGGGGGCGCCGCCGTCCATGGCATTGCACTTTGGGGCGCCACCTCCCATGAGGGGGCCTCTGAGCGCGACACTGTCCCTGAGAGGGCCCCTGATCGCGCCGCTGCCCCTGGGATATTCTCGGGAGGCGCCAGTGCTCTGGTAGGGCCCTTGGGTCGCTTTTGTCCCTGGATGTGTCCCTGGGGGCGCCGTCGTCCCTGGGAGAACGTCTGGGAACGTGGCTGTCTCTGGGAGAGCTCCTGGGAGCGCCAGCGATCCTGGTGGGGTCCTTGGGGGTGCCGCCGTTGTTGGAAAGGCCCCTGGGAGATCTGCTGACCCTGGGTGAGCCCCTGGGTGCTCCACTGGCCTTGGGAGGGCCGCTGAGAGCGTAGCTTTCGCTGGGAGAATCCCTGGGAGCAGCAGCGATCTTGGCAAGGTCCACGGGGCGCTGGTGATTATGGAAAGACCCCTGGCAGAGTCGCTGTCCCTGGGAGAAACCCTGTGGTGCCATCGCCCCTGTAATGGCTCGTAGGAGTAGTTGTTTTTGCACTATTTAAAATTCTGGGTGATATGACGTTAAATAAATACACAGCCCATCACATTTCCAGTATCATCGTATCCTAAACAATGAAATGGAGAAAAAATATCCAACAGGAAAACATAAGTTGGGGTGTTGTGCTGACTGAGTGCTCTGTTCTCCTATTGGCTGTAATTTGTTGTATTTACATTCTAGTCCACCAATCACAGTTAAGTAAGGGATTATTGGACGAATGCAATATGTACGATACCTCCATCAAATCTCTGGGGGTTTCGCCGCCCTTGGGAGGGCCCCTGAAGTCGCCACTGCCCTTAGCAGGGACCCAGTCGCCCCTGTGAGGGACCCCACCGTCCCTAGAAGTGCATCTGGGATCCCCGCCGCCCCTAGGAGGGCCCATAACGGCGCCGCTGCTTCAGATAGGGCCCATGGGGGCGTCACCACACCCGGCAGGGCAGCTGGGAACGTGGATGTCCCTGGTAGAGCCCTTATGGGCGTCGCCGTCCCTGAGAGAGTCCCTGGAAGTTCCCTTGGACCTGAGTTAGCTCCTGGCAGTGCCAGCGCCCTCTGACAGAGCCCCTGGGGGCGCCGCCGTGCATGGCATTGCACGTGGGGCCCCACCTCCCATGAGGGGGCCCCTGAGCGCGACACTGTCCCTGAGAAGGCCCCTGATCGCGCCGCTGTCCCTGGGATATCCTTGGGTTGCGCTAGTGCCTTGGTAGGACCCCTGGGGCGCTTTAGTCCCTGGAAGGGCGCCTGGGGGCGCCGATGTCCCTGGGATATCATCCGGTTGCGCTAGTGCCCTGGTAGGGCCCCTGGGGCGCTTTAGTCCCTGGAAGGGCGCCTGGGGGCGCCGTCGTCCCTGGGAGAACGTCTGGGAACGTGACTGTCCCTGGGAGAGCTCCTGGGAGCGCCAGCGATCCTGGCGGGGTCCTTGGGGTTACCGCCGTTGTTGGAAAGGCCCCTGGGAGCTCTGCTGACCCTGGGTGAGCCCCTGGTGGCGCCACTGAGTGGCCCTGGAGAGCGTGGCTGCTGGGAGAGTCCTGGGATGGCAGCGACTCTGCAAGGTCCTGGGCTGACCAGATTATGGAAAGACCCCCGTGCCGTCAGCTGTCCCTGGAGAAACCCTGAGGTGCCATCGCCCGTGTAATGCCTGTAGGAGTAGTTGTTTTGCACCATTTAAAATTCCTGGGGTGATATGACGTTAAATAAATACACGCCCATCACATTTCCAGTATCAATGTATCTCAAATAATGAAATGGAGAAAACATCCACACAGGAAACATAAGTTGGGGTGTTAAAGGACTGGAGTGCTCTGTCTCCATTATTGTAATTTGGTGTATTTAAGACTCTAGTCCACCAAATCACAGTTAAGGCGGGATTATTGACGAATGCAATATGTACGATACCTCCATCAAATCTCTGGGGGTTTCGCCGCCCTTGGGAGGGCCCCTGAAGTCGCCACTGCCCCTAGCAGGGACCCTGTTGCCTTTGTGAGGGACCCCACCGTCCCTAGAAGTGACTCTGAGATCCCCGCCGCCCCTAGGAGGGCCCATAACGGCGCCGCTGCTTCAGATAGGGCCCATGGGGGCGTCACCACACCCGGCAGGGCACCTGGGAACGTGGATGTCCCTGGTAGAGCCCTTATGGGCGTCGCGGTCCCTGAGAGAGTCCCTGGAAGTTCCCCTGGACCTGAGTTAGCTCCTGGCAGTGCCAGCGCCCTCTGACAGAGCCCCTGGTGGCGCCGCCGTCCATGGCATTGCACCTTGGGGCCCCACCTCCCATGAGGGGGCCCCTGAGCGCGACACTGCCCCTCAGAAGGCCCCTGATCGCGCCGCTGTCCCTGGGATATCCTCGGGTTGCGCTAGTGCCTTGGTAGGGTCCCTGTGGCGCTTTAGTCCCTGGAAGGGCGCCTGGGGGCGCCGCTGTCCCTGGGAGAAACCCTGAGGTGCCATCGCCCGTGTAATGGCTCGTAGGAGTAGTTGTTTTTGCACTATTTAAAATTCTGGGTGATATGACGTTAAATAAATACACCGCCCATCACATTTCCAGTATCATCGTATCCTAAACAATGAAATGGAGAAAAAATATCCAACAGGAAAACATAAGTTGGGGTGTTGTGCTGACTGAGTGCTCTGTTCTCCTATTGGCTGTAATTTGGTGTATTTACATTCTAGTCCACCAATCACAGTTAAATAAGGGATTATTGGACGAATGCAATATGTACGATACCTCCATCAAATCTCTGGGGGTTCCGCCGCCCTTGGGAGGGCCCCTGAAGTCGCCACTGTCCCTAGCAGGGACCCTGTTGCCCCTGTGAGGGACCCCACTGTCCCTAGAAGTGCCTCTGGGAGCCCCGCTGCTCCTAGGAGGGCCCATAACGGCGCCGCTGCTTCAGATAGGGCCCATAGGGGCGTCACCACACCCGGCAGGGCCCCTGAGAACGTGGATGTCCCTGGTAGAGCCCTTATGGGCGTCGCCGTCCCTGAGAGGGTCCCTGGAAGTTTCCCTGGTCCTGAGATAACTCCTGGCAGTGCCAGCGCCCTCTGACAGAGCCCCTGGGGGCGCCGCCGTCCATGGCATTGCACCTTGGGGCGCCACCTCCCATGAGGGGGCCTCTGAGCGCGACACTGTCCCTGAGAGGGCCCCTGATCGCGCCGCTGCCCCTGGGATATTCTCGGGAGGCGCCAGTGCTCTGGTAGGGCCCTTGGGTCGCTTTTGTCCCTGGATGTGTCCCTGGGGGCGCCGTCGTCCCTGGGAGAACGTCTGGGAACGTGGCTGTCTCTGGGAGAGCTCCTGGGAGCGCCAGCGATCCTGGTGGGGTCCTTGGGGGTGCCGCCGTTGTTGGAAAGGCCCCTGGGAGATCTGCTGACCCTGGGTGAGCCCCTGGGTGCTCCACTGGCCTTGGGAGGGCCGCTGAGAGCGTAGCTTTCGCTGGGAGAATCCCTGGGAGCAGCAGCGATCTTGGCAAGGTCCACGGGGCGCTGGTGATTATGGAAAGAACCCTGGCAGAGTCGCTGTCCCTGGGAGAAACCCTGTGGTGCCATCGCCCCTGTAATGGCTCGTAGGAGTAGTTGTTTTTGCACTATTTAAAATTCTGGGTGATATGACGTTAAATAAATACACCGCCCATCACATTTCCAGTATCATCGTATCCTAAACAATGAAATGGAGAAAAAATATCCAACAGGAAAACATAAGTTGGGGTGTTGTGCTGACTGAGTGCTCTGTTCTCCTATTGGCTGTAATTTGTTGTATTTACATTCTAGTCCACCAATCACAGTTAAGTAAGGGATTATTGGACGAATGCAATATGTACGATACCTCCATCAAATCTCTGGGGGTTTCGCCGCCCTTGGGAGGGCCCCTGAAGTCGCCACTGCCCCTAGCAGGGACCCTGTTGCCTTTGTGAGGGACCCCACCGTCCCTAGAAGTGACTCTGAGATCCCCGCCGCCCCTAGGAGGGCCCATAACGGCGCCGCTGCTTCAGATAGGGCCCATGGGGGCGTCACCACACCCGGCAGGGCACCTGGGAACGTGGATGTCCCTGGTAGAGCCCTTATGGGCGTCGCGGTCCCTGAGAGAGTCCCTGGAAGTTCCCCTGGACCTGAGTTAGCTCCTGGCAGTGCCAGCGCCCTCTGACAGAGCCCCTGGTGGCGCCGCCGTCCATGGCATTGCACCTTGGGGCCCCACCTCCCATGAGGGGGCCCCTGAGCGCGACACTGCCCCTCAGAAGGCCCCTGATCGCGCCGCTGTCCCTGGGATATCCTCGGGTTGCGCTAGTGCCTTGGTAGGGTCCCTGTGGCGCTTTAGTCCCTGGAAGGGCGCCTGGGGGCGCCGCTGTCCCTGGGAGAAACCCTGAGGTGCCATCGCCCGTGTAATGGCTCGTAGGAGTAGTTGTTTTTGCACTATTTAAAATTCTGGGTGATATGACGTTAAATAAATACACCGCCCATCACATTTCCAGTATCATCGTATCCTAAACAATGAAATGGAGAAAAAATATCCAACAGGAAAACATAAGTTGGGGTGTTGTGCTGACTGAGTGCTCTGTTCTCCTATTGGCTGTAATTTGGTGTATTTACATTCTAGTCCACCAATCACAGTTAAATAAGGGATTATTGGACGAATGCAATATGTACGATACCTCCATCAAATCTCTGGGGGTTCCGCCGCCCTTGGGAGGGCCCCTGAAGTCGCCACTGTCCCTAGCAGGGACCCTGTTGCCCCTGTGAGGGACCCCACTGTCCCTAGAAGTGCCTCTGGGAGCCCCGCTGCTCCTAGGAGGGCCCATAACGGCGCCGCTGCTTCAGATAGGGCCCATAGGGGCGTCACCACACCCGGCAGGGCCCCTGAGAACGTGGATGTCCCTGGTAGAGCCCTTATGGGCGTCGCCGTCCCTGAGAGGGTCCCTGGAAGTTTCCCTGGTCCTGAGATAACTCCTGGCAGTGCCAGCGCCCTCTGACAGAGCCCCTGGGGGCGCCGCCGTCCATGGCATTGCACCTTGGGGCGCCACCTCCCATGAGGGGGCCTCTGAGCGCGACACTGTCCCTGAGAGGGCCCCTGATCGCGCCGCTGCCCCTGGGATATTCTCGGGAGGCGCCAGTGCTCTGGTAGGGCCCTTGGGTCGCTTTTGTCCCTGGATGTGTCCCTGGGGGCGCCGTCGTCCCTGGGAGAACGTCTGGGAACGTGGCTGTCTCTGGGAGAGCTCCTGGGAGCGCCAGCGATCCTGGTGGGGTCCTTGGGGGTGCCGCCGTTGTTGGAAAGGCCCCTGGGAGATCTGCTGACCCTGGGTGAGCCCCTGGGTGCTCCACTGGCCTTGGGAGGGCCGCTGAGAGCGTAGCTTTCGCTGGGAGAATCCCTGGGAGCAGCAGCGATCTTGGCAAGGTCCACGGGGCGCTGGTGATTATGGAAAGACCCCTGGCAGAGTCGCTGTCCCTGGGAGAAACCCTGTGGTGCCATCGCCCCTGTAATGGCTCGTAGGAGTAGTTGTTTTTGCACTATTTAAAATTCTGGGTGATATTACGTTAAATAAATACACCGCCCATCACATTTCCAGTATCATCGTATCCTAAACAATGAAATGGAGAAAAAATATCCAACAGGAAAACATAAGTTGGGGTGTTGTGCTGACTGAGTGCTCTGTTCTCCTATTGGCTGTAATTTGTTGTATTTACATTCTAGTCCACCAATCACAGTTAAGTAAGGGATAATTGGACGAATGCAATATGTACGATACCTCCATCAAATCTCTGGGGGTTTCGCCGCCCTTGGGAGGGCCCCTGAAGTCGCCACTGCCCCTAGCAGGGACCCTGTTGCCTTTGTGAGGGACCCCACCGTCCCTAGAAGTGCCTCTAAGATCCCCGCCGCCCCTAGGAGGGCCCATAACGGCGCCGCTGCTTCAGATAGGGCCCATGGGGGCGTCACCACACCCGGCAGGGCACCTGGGAACGTGGATGTCCCTGGTAGAGCCCTTATGGGCGTCGCGGTCCCTGAGAGAGTCCCTGGAAGTTCCCCTGGACCTGAGTTAGCTCCTGGCAGTGCCAGCGCCCTCTGACAGAGCCCCTGGTGGCGCCGCCGTCCATGGCATTGCACCTTGGGGCCCCACCTCCCATGAGGGGGCCCCTGAGCGCGACACTGCCCCTCAGAAGGCCCCTGATCGCGCCGCTGTCCCTGGGATATCCTCGGGTTGCGCTAGTGCCTTGGTAGGGCCCCTGTGGCGCTTTAGTCCCTGGAAGGGCGCCTGGGGGCGCCGCTGTCCCTGGGAGAAACCCTGAGGTGCCATCGCCCGTGTAATGGCTCGTAGGAGTAGTTGTTTTTGCACTATTTAAAATTCTGGGTGATATGACGTTAAATAAATACACCGCCCATCACATTTCCAGTATCATCGTATCCTAAACAATGAAATGGAGAAAAAATATCCAACAGGAAAACATAAGTTGGGGTGTTGTGCTGACTGAGTGCTCTGTTCTCCTATTGGCTGTAATTTGGTGTATTTACATTCTAGTCCACCAATCACAGTTAAATAAGGGATTATTGGACGAATGCAATATGTACGATACCTCCATCAAATCTCTGGGGGTTCCGCCGCCCTTGGGAGGGCCCCTGAAGTCGCCACTGTCCCTAGCAGGGACCCTGTTGCCCCTGTGAGGGACCCCACTGTCCCTAGAAGTGCCTCTGGGAGCCCCGCTGCTCCTAGGAGGGCCCATAACGGCGCCGCTGCTTCAGATAGGGCCCATAGGGGCGTCACCACACCCGGCAGGGCCCCTGAGAACGTGGATGTCCCTGGTAGAGCCCTTATGGGCGTCGCCGTCCCTGAGAGGGTCCCTGGAAGTTTCCCTGGTCCTGAGATAACTCCTGGCAGTGCCAGCGCCCTCTGACAGAGCCCCTGGGGGCGCCGCCGTCCATGGCATTGCACCTTGGGGCGCCACCTCCCATGAGGGGGCCTCTGAGCGCGACACTGTCCCTGAGAGGGCCCCTGATCGCGCCGCTGCCCCTGGGATATTCTCGGGAGGCGCCAGTGCTCTGGTAGGGCCCTTGGGTCGCTTTTGTCCCTGGATGTGTCCCTGGGGGCGCCGTCGTCCCTGGGAGAACGTCTGGGAACGTGGCTGTCTCTGGGAGAGCTCCTGGGAGCGCCAGCGATCCTGGTGGGGTCCTTGGGGGTGCCGCCGTTGTTGGAAAGGCCCCTGGGAGATCTGCTGACCCTGGGTGAGCCCCTGGGTGCTCCACTGGCCTTGGGAGGGCCGCTGAGCGTAGCTGCTGGGAGAATCCCTGGGAGCAGCAGCGATCTTGGCAAGGTCCACGGGGCGCTGGTGATTATGGAAAGACCCTGGCAGAGTCGCAGTCCCTGGGAGAAACCCTGTGGTGCCATCGCCCCACGGCTCAGGAGTAGCTTGTTTTTTGACCATTACACTCAGTGAGCATACGTTAAATAACACACTGCCCATCACATTTCCAGTATCATCGTATCTAAACAATGAAATGGAGAGTACTGTCCAACAGGAAAACATAAGTTAGTGTTGTGTTGACTGAGTGCTCTGTTCTCCTTATTATTGTAATTTGTTGCATTTACATTCTTAGTCCACCAATCACAGTTAAGTAAGGGATAATTGACGAATGCAATATGCACGATACCCATCAAATCTCATGCTGCCCTTGAGGCCTTTAGTCGCCACTGCCCCTAGCAGGGACCCTGTTGCCTTTGTGAGGGACCCCACCGTCCCTAGAAGTGACTCTGAGATCCCCGCCGCCCCTAGGAGGGCCCATAACGGCGCCGCTGCTTCAGATAGGGCCCATGGGGGCGTCACCACACCCGGCAGGGCACCTGGGAACGTGGATGTCCCTGGTAGAGCCCTTATGGGCGTCGCGGTCCCTGAGAGAGTCCCTGGAAGTTCCCCTGGACCTGAGTTAGCTCCTGGCAGTGCCAGCGCCCTCTGACAGAGCCCCTGGTGGCGCCGCCGTCCATGGCATTGCACCTTGGGGCCCCACCTCCCATGAGGGGGCCCCTGAGCGCGACACTGCCCCTCAGAAGGCCCCTGATCGCGCCGCTGTCCCTGGGATATCCTCGGGTTGCGCTAGTGCCTTGGTAGGGTCCCTGTGGCGCTTTAGTCCCTGGAAGGGCGCCTGGGGGCGCCGCTGTCCCTGGGAGAAACCCTGAGGTGCCATCGCCCGTGTAATGGCTCGTAGGAGTAGTTGTTTTTGCACTATTTAAAATTCTGGGTGATATGACGTTAAATAAATACACCGCCCATCACATTTCCAGTATCATCGTATCCTAAACAATGAAATGGAGAAAAAATATCCAACAGGAAAACATAAGTTGGGGTGTTGTGCTGACTGAGTGCTCTGTTCTCCTATTGGCTGTAATTTGGTGTATTTACATTCTAGTCCACCAATCACAGTTAAATAAGGGATTATTGGACGAATGCAATATGTACGATACCTCCATCAAATCTCTGGGGGTCCCGCCGCCCTTGGGAGGGCCCCTGAAGTCGCCACTGTCCCTATCAGGGACCCTGTTGCCCCTGTGAGGGACCCCACTGTCCCT